CTTGACCTTTCTCGACAGCGGAGACCTTAGTAGATTTTGAAAGCTGCCAATAAAAGAAGATGGATTAGCTTATAATATACGAGAATCAAAAAAGTATAAGAAAGTAGTAAACTCTCACCAAAAGGTGATGGAGTCAAGATCTTGACTCGGTCGATATGTACAAGCCGGGGAGGCAAAAGAGCCTCGGGGAGGTTAAGGTAAGGGAAATAAGATAATTTTGAGACGAAATATCTTTGTTTATGGGTTTTGGGCGACGTGTTTCCCCGAGGGTTCTCAATTCTCGAACCCATTTTGGATGAGTTAATGGTTTGGCAAGTCCAAAAGGAGGCTGTGGGAAAAGTTGGAAGGCGATTTGGACAATACATTTCAAAAGGAGTTCTACCTAAAGGATTGATTATTTTGTGGTTCGATCGATTAATGTCCGTTTTATTGGATAAGGAGATAACGACATCATAATAGGTCGATTCTAATTTCGGTGGGGTGTAACATATTTGATAAAAGTTCTCGAATCGAGATATTTGAAGACGAGTGGAAGTGTGTACCTTTCTTCGATTTTGACTTGTCCTGCTAACACAAGAGAAGGTTGAGTAGTCGGTTTACGCGAACTTCATCAAAAGTAGCATGACTACTCGAGAACCAACCGGCCCACCATTGAGAAAAACCCACGGTAGATAAATAATTCAAATCGAAAGCATAGGGGTAAAAGTGCATCGGGGTTTTAGGTAAAAGCTTGATAAGCTCCCGATTAAGTGAAGATTCGGTTAATTTGGACTTGGGGGATGTATCGAGGGGAAGAAAGGTAGGGATTGGCTTAGACCAAACTGCCTCGAAAGAAACTGCGGGTAATAAGTAATAAACTTGAAATCCTTAGGCTGAAAACCAGATAATAATATATCATGGGTCAAATAACTACTCCATATGTCGACCGGCTCTAATTGTAACCGGGAGACGAAGGCTAGGAATTTTGACTTAAACCAAGCTGGTCCCCTAAGTTGGCCATTTATTTGTCCAAGATTTACGGTAAACGGGGCCAAGGTCGAATCAAAGGAGGATCTAGTCGACAAAAAGTGGAGGTATTTACAATAGGTAGACTCATCGGTCTTTTGGCGAGGATGGCGGAAGGATAATCGGGCCCCTTCTATATTTACACTTGGGGGAACGGTAGAAATCCGAGGAAGGATACTTTCAAATATCGAAATTAACCATAATTGAATAAACCAAACGGGGCCGAGAAAAATTCCCCGATGCCTTAGGGGTACTCAAAATATCGACAGCTTCGTCGAAAGCGGTATATACATGTGCTTAATAAAGTTTTGGCTAAACAAAGTCTAGGGTGGCCTAGGTGAAGGAGATATGCAAGATTGAACAAATGGGGGAAATTTGGATTGAACGGGGGCAAAAAACATGGGTACATAACCAATACACCAAAAATGCTACGTGTTCTTCGTCGATGATCGCTATCGAGGGGTCATCGACAAAGTGTTTCTCGAGAAAATGCCCATAGGCCTTCGACTCCCAATCAATTTTCGACCTCGATGAATTATCGAGGGATATGCACCGGAAAATACCTCTCCCCTATGGGTTTCAACCCGAGTAATAGCGACTACCTCGAAAAGGGTGGGCGACACGGGGCCACAAGGCAACTCCAAAACATGTAGGTCTTGATTCCATAAATGCACTGCGAGATAAGAACATCGCCATGTCCAAATGAGACAGGTCACATCGGGACGAGTGCAAAAAATCGAAAATACCGAGTACTCCTCCGGTGATCCCCAAACTTAGCCTTGACCCTATCAAACCATCGAATATACAGAGGCTTTTTGGAAGGAGGGCCCGTTCTATACACTTTAGAAGTAAGATTCGGAAAATCAACCCTAACTTCGGGTTGATGAACCAAAGCCGGACTAGTCGAGAGGTTAAGAGGAGTAAAAATGTCATCGATAGGACGGAGAGGACCCCCAAAAGCAAAATTTACCCCTTCAACAGTATAAGGAATAAGTACCTGCGTCTCAGCAATCTTACGGGAAGCTTCCTCCATCAGAGGAACTGGAGCGAACCTCTGGTTGTTAATCTCCAGCAGGTTAGATGGCAGTGAAGAAAGGGGTGGAGCAGAAAAGTCAGAAGATTTTGATGAGTTGGCCATTGTAGTGAATTTAGGAAAACAGAAAGGGAAGAGTTAACGGATGAGGTAATAGGAACGAAGGCAAGAGCTCAAGGAAGAAGATGAAATTGCACGGAAGGTAATGGTTCGCGTAAAAACCGGAGTGAAGACTAAGGGAGAGGTTAAGGGTAAATCGTATAGGGAAGCTGGAATGATGGAGGTGAAAGGCAATAAATGCGATTAGTACTGTGAAGGCAACGGATCGACGAGACAACGACATAAAGCAAAAAAGAAACCCACAACCCTTTTAAAACCCTAGAACCCCAGAAACCCTAAACCCTAAATCCTGTGGGCTTTCAAACACTAAGGCGGGAATATTGAAAGAATATAAAACAGAAATCATTTATATTCTTCCAAGGGGGCATTTTGTTAGTAGCAAATCGAGAAAAGCGATCGAAATCGAAGGGAAGAAATATGACTCGATAAGATAAACAAAAGTTCATTCGATGTCTAATTAGAAATACGTAGCATATAGCATCGAGAAACACAATCGAGAATCGAATGAATTGTAATCAAATGACTGTTGTCAAATAAAAACTAAGTCATATAAGATCAGGATTAAAAAGGAATCGTGAGTAATTCGAAGTTCTCGAAAGATATAGAATCGAGAATAAAGAAAGCCAATGGGGACATCGAGATTTTGGCCAAATCGTGAAGGGAAGTAAGTCGAATGCACGTATAGAGAGCAGTTTTGAAATCATGGGTAAAAGTTGGAGATCGTGAGATCGTGGGAAACTAGAAGATAAACTGTCATACGCACGTAGAACGTGGTAGCAGTCGTATTAACTACTCTTAGAAGGCTTGAAGGATGCCCTATAAATAGAAGCAAAGAAGGAAGGAACAAGGGGAGCAAAAATTGGCGGAGCGCGGAATCGAGCGGTGAAAACGTCTACCGGAGGAACGACGAACACCATGAAGTTTACGGCAATCTGGATTTCCACGCTCACGGAGTACATTTATCGCTTTCTTTATTTTCCTTGGTAATTTACTTTCGAGCCATTTCAATTCAGCAATTTCATATTCTTGTATACTACATTCAATGTCATTTCGATTTCCTGTTATTTACTTTTTATGCAATCTTAATGGGTTTTAGCAATTTACATTTCCCGCACATTTCGATTTCCTGTCCTTTATTTCTCTTGCAAACTTAATTTCTTGCAAATTTGGGGTTTTCGCATTTTCTTGCAATTTAATACTCTTTTCTCGATTCGATACTTTACTGCTTTGTTTGATTCGAGCATTTTAGACATAAAAAACCAAAAATAGTATTTCTCGATACTTATAGTTTTCGACTCTCATACACATTTTCGATTGAAAATCAAATTGCTAGCCTAAGTAAAAAAGAACTTACATGGTAGAATTTCGATTAGGACCAAAATACCCTTAGGATCGAAATCGATCAAAATTCCACCAGAAACACAATCAATTAGCCCAAGAGGTTCTGCATTTTTCTGCTTTCTGCGTTCTTGTATATGCTGTGCATCCCCCCTTCCATTCCACGCATCAAACGCAGTAATCTCACCATAACGAAATAAATAAAAAGTTATAAATAAATACAATTAAGCAACCAAGCTAAAATCGAACTCAAAATTGATTGGGCTAGCCTAATTTAGCCCAAATGTGATCGCTCTCGTATGATGTGATATTGGGCCCATTTATTCCTCGATTTAGGTATCCATACTCATACATTTTTTTATAAATGAATTGAAGTTGTCGGATTGTTTATATTTTTTTTAATTTAGAATTTATTATGCGCAAAGAAAAATATCACTCCTTGTTTTTTTTGTGTGTCTTTTTTTGTATAAATATTTTTATATATGTATTATTTTAGACATAATCTAAATGATAGATAATACTATATAAGTAGATTAAATGAATAGTGTTTTAATTTAAAAAAAAATGAAACTATATTATTTGCTAAATAAAATAATAACTTAGCACTTTTGTAACATATATATTTACATTCTTCAAATACTTATACGAAAGGATCTATTTTATATTTTACATTGTTTCCCTTTACACAAAATGTCTAGAGCAACATACCCTAATAATATTATAAATTAAATCCTTAAAGATTTTTTTTCAATTTGATCAATGTGTTTTATCAAATAAAAGTGAGAAAAAATGCATAAATTAACTGATAATAGTATATTGTCTTTTGGCTTTTATTATTCATCATGTACATTTTATACTTTAATTGATTTTTTTTGTCAGTTGTTTTGAATTATGTCTGTACTAAGAAAATATAATTCACAACAATTATTTTAAATTAGTATTCTTACCAAACAGATATTTTAATTAGATTATTTTTGTGAAGCTACCACATCTTTTACTTTGAGATGAAAAACCGCATCACCCAAAAAAAAACACGCTATATCCAATTTATAATAATTATCATATAAAAAAATCCAAAATAGTGTTATTTTAGTTTTTCATATAATATCAATCATTAATTTTTATTTATATAACTGATAGTATTAAAAAAAATAAAAATAACAAAATTAATTTTATAAAATCACAATTATCTTTTCCTCCATTTATTAAGTTTTTTTATATCAGCAAAAAACCAACAAGAATATTGTTAACGAGGAAATAGTTATTGAGTAGTGATTAATGGACAACCGTGTCTAATAAAACAACCAATAGACACAACACAATCACTACTAGTGGTCTCTTAAATATTTGTAAAGAAAGTTAAACTTTTCGTCGAACACCTTCTCTGCACTGCATCACACACTCGACCGCGCTTTTTGCTTTGAACTTGGGAGGGACAAATCGACATCAATCCCATCTCTATTTCGTTCTTTCCACAATCCACCGTCGCTTTCACAACAACACCATGTTTGGCTCCGCTCAACCTTCTTCATCTCCGTTCGGCACCCCTTCGTCAACCCCAGCATTTGGCACCCCTTCTTCTACACCCGCATTCGGAACCCCTTCTTTCGCTACCCCTTCTTCTACCCCTGCATTCGGAACCCCATCTTCAACACCGGCGTTCGGCGCTTCGTCTACCCCTGCCTTCGGTTCCTCCCTCTTCTCCACGCCCTTTTCTTCTCAACCACAACAGCAGCAACAGCAGCAGCAACAACAAACTCCACTATTTCAACAACAACCAACCTCTTCTGCTTTCGGCTTTCAAAATCTCCTCGCAGCGCCACAACCCTCGCCTTTCGCAAATGCCCAATTAACCACTCAGATGGCTAACGTAGCACCCGTTCCGTTCTCTCTCGCCGATCGCGATGTTCAAGTATTTTATTTTTCCTTTTTTCTTCCTTAATCCAGTTTTCAATTTCTTTAATTGAATCCTTGGTTTTTGAATTTCTTTTTATTAATGTTGTGTATTTTGTATGCTCTGCCACAAGACAATAGTTGATGCTTACAAGGAAGATCCTGGAAACCCCAAATACGCTTTTAAGGTATCCTCCTCGCTGTCTAATTAAAAAAAGAAATACAGAAATGTCTCTTTTGTAAAGTTCTGTTGTTTAGTGTTTGCCCCATTTATGTAAATGGCTGAGTTTATATACACTTGGGTTTGTATTTCATGCTATGCGCATTTTTTTCTTCCTAATTTTGAACTTAGGGTTCAAATCCAACTCTACATTAACAGTTGTATTTGTGATGCAATGTGGCGAATGTTGGAATTTCAGTTGTTGGTCGTCATCTTTTTTCCTCACGCTGGTGTTTTTGTGTTGTTCAGCATTTGTTGTTCAGTGTAACAGAACCACAGTTTAGAGTGAAGCCTGCTGGTGTATCAGACGTAAGCTTTTTTTTTCTTTCTAGTAAACACTATAGTTGGGAGGTTCTTTTACCTTTTCCCAGCACTGGCTAATTTTGGGAATAGTTTATGTTGCTAGATCATGTGGGCGGAGGCAATGGGGAAGCTTGAGGGTATGGACAGTGCGGATAGAGAACGTCTGTGGCCACAGCTTGTCCAGGGTTTTAAGGATCTTTCACAACGCCTTAAGGTAAACTTTATTAGGCTATGTTTGGATTGATAGATAGGAAAATGGAATGAAATGACATAAATTGCAGTTGTTTGAATTATTTAAACTCGGATAGAATGGAATTGAATATGAGAGAAGTTCTTCCAAGTTCCAATCAATTTCATTCATTGCCTGCTTTTTACTCCTTCCAATGTTGGGGTGTGGGATGAAATTTACATGTTTCCCAATCTCCTTATCCAATTTGTACGCTTCTTAAACAATGAAATGATAACTTTCTTCCATCCCATCATATAATATTCAAACAGTAATATGACAAATTATTTCATTTTACGTCGTTTAGTTCCAATTTACTTCTCGCTATATTTCCAAACAAAATTGTAGATTTTGATAGCTTAACTACTAGAATAGTACTAGTAACTTAAATATATGATCTTTTGAGAAAATCAAGGTTTATCTAGGGCTTTTTGACCAGTTTCTGTTGTTCAGTTTTTCGATACCTCATATAAATGAAAATGGTCATCAATTTCAAAATTTAGTGCACATCGTCAGCATGGATACCTGACAAGTGAATATCGTTTGATATGCAAAAGTTGTTTATAAGATTAGCAGAGGACTAAATTTTTTATGCCAAGATTTGGACTGAGAAAATAATGCTTCTCAATCAAATGTGTCAAACTAGCCTAAAAGAAATTTATGATGGGAAATGATAAGAAGGGTAAACAGAGATGTGGATAGTGTTTTTAACAATTTTAGTAGGCATTATTTAGTGATGCTTTGAGTATTCAAGCTTTTGAGATGTATCCACCAGTCAGTATTTGATGTGAAAAAGGGAGAATCTTTATTTATTTTTATGTAAAACTTGTTGAAATATGAGGATTGGATATTCTCTAAGCCTTGAGGATACATATTTGCTCACATTGTCATGTAGATACAAGATGAAGTCATTGTTTCTGATGCAGAGAGATTGCGTATAACCCAAAGCAATGTTAAAATGGTATTATTCTTCCCTTTGCTTGGACAGGAGCAGTGTTAATGTGATACTACTTTTTCTATTATGCTGAATTGTCTTTCCAATTGTTTGATGCTTTTGCAGCTCCAAAGACATTTTCAGGCTGATACTCTTCCATGGATTCAAAGACTAAAACAAAAAGAACAAATTCTCCAGCAACGTCTTTTAAGAGTAGGGACAACTACTATGTGTTTGAGAATGAAAGTGTTTTTTGATTGTAGAATGAATCGATTCTCCTGCACAGAATTAGCTACTCTAATAAGTTGATATAAAGTTTTATATTTCTTAATTTTGACTAGTATTCCCCTCCTCCAAATATATGCCCTATAGTAGGATCTCTATTTGAAAGTCAAATACATGAATTAGCTGGTCACAGGCGTTGAATTTTTGTTTGTTGCTCCTTGATTATATCCTTTCATGTTGTGTTTCAAGGTAATGAGAATAGTGGAGGCATTGGAGGGAAAAGGCTGCCGTATACCCTTAACAAAAGGGGAAGCTGAGCTTGCTGAGAAATTAGCCACAATAACTAGACAGGTAGAAATGTTCTCTAACACCATTTTCTGCCTTTTTGCTTTGTTGCTGGAGATGGAACTTATCTGGAAATATCTTCTCAGCTGAAAGGATCTGGAGCGGAACTGTCTAGAAGAGTACAAAATCTACTAACTGTATCTCGTGTTAAAGCTAATAGCAATGGATTTGGTGGCTCCGTTTATCTTCCAGGGTCAACCAAAATTCATGATCAGAGTCTTGCTGACCTACAGGAGGTAAGATGGAACCAATTTGATATTTATTCAACGTCTTGAGTCTTGATTTTCCATTTTATTTTACAAAAAAAAAAGTATTATTTGTATTAGCTATGTACATGATACTTTCAAAAAATTCAATATAACGATGACCTATTTTGTGCGAGCAGGTTTTACAACAGCAAATGGAGGCCATTGCGAGACTTGGCGGTGTTCTAAAGCGAGATATACGAGATATGGAGATTATGTTCACTGATGACACAGGAAGAATTGAAAATGGGAATTTAATTTGAACCTAGGACAGGAAACCTTAAGCATTCTTGCGTTGTAATCACATTTTATTTTATATTTTTTTTCTAATCTATCATGATTTGGTAACTAGAGGGAGCTAATGTAACGAGAGCATATCAAAATCTAATGTACTCCTTCCGCTGCTGATTGGAACTTCCCATCAACCGAGAAAACGTTGAGCAAATTGATTCGTTATTATCTTGCAAACTTAATGCCTACAACGATGACTTGGGAACTTACATTGCTGTTGATGGGTATTTTTCAGCTGTTCATATTATGAAATATTCTTCGATTAGACTATTTTTAAGGCTAAATATTTTTTTTTTCAGGCTGATCGGAATATGTTCTTAAACCTTTCAGTTATCAAGTAGGCTACGACACTAATCATCCTTAATTTATTTTTTTCGTAAAAGCTGCAATTTTTTCTTATATCTATAGTTTTGTAAGCAAAATAATTCATCGCCAATTCAAGCAGTTTTGGAGTTGTGTTTAACTACTTATCGTTGACTCTTGATCCTAGTTAATATGAAATAAGTGATCAGATGTCAACTAAATCTAAATAATGTGTAGCTGCGATACGATTAGTCAATCTAAGTTATTACTGTTAGCAGCGTATATCTATAAATTTTGGACAAAGTTATCGACATTAGCGAGATCCCCCATCATATGTAGCAATTTGAATTTCATGTAGTGATGTTTACTGTGGGAATTAATGGCAAAAGCTCCACTTAGTTTCAACAACAAAGAAAAAATAATTAACAATATGGTGGAACAAATTTGTGTCAAGGGCTCCGATGATTTGCATATAAAACTGCGGTAGAGCATAAGAACGGACGCCCCTGCAAATCATCAAATTTCAAAATTGTTATTGCTGACGATTACCACGTTGAACTTATAACACGAGGCACAATCATATGAATGACAAAGTCGAAGGGTGTTGCAATAACTTTCTTATGCCATAAAATAAATGAAAATGCATGTAATACCGTCTTGTCGACAGCTCTGAACTGATTAAAAGTATGGGGGCGTGTCAAGGCATGGGGATGAAATAACCAGGACTAGGAGTTTCGGCAAAAGACTACACGGAAAAAGCAGGTCATTAAGGACACGGAGTATCAAATCAGTATCCATTCAGGACTGACTTTAAGCCAATTGCAATACTATAGGTGCTCTGACCAAAGACGTTCCTCATAGCTGATTCGGGCTCGATTTCGTTAACAAGTTTATGTGCAATATTTCATTGATCAAAAGCAAATTTGTCGGCAAGTTTCCAATCATGGTTGCATTTTTTCATTGGTTTGGCTTCTATGAAAGGACGTATCATTAAGCATACTTATTCCTTATCATTAATTCGTTACTAGTATGATATTTGGGCGTATAAATAGAATAGACGACTTACTATTGTGTAAAAAAGCTTAGAAGAAGATTATTGAAACACCCATCATAAAGCAACCCACAGCTACCCACGGGCTCAACCGTTCACCTGTATTGACAACCACACATGTATAGTCAAGATAATATCACCGATTAAATTCCATATCTCATGAAATATATTATTCTAAAGGGAGTATGGGCATACACCCAAACAGAAAGTGTTACATGTGGACAAACAAAAGGAGAAAAATTCCATTAGATCATAACAACCAACTGATTTGAATATTTTTATTGGCTCTCACTTGCTTTGTTGCATTTTCTTTTATTGTTTAGTAAGCAAAGAAATCACAATGAAATCTACTGCACAGAATATCCGAACATGCTGGCACAGCACTAAATGTGAAGCAATAAATTCAAGAACTATATGGCCAAACTAGAAATCTAGTAACCGATGTCACAAACAGCTTTTGAATGACACTGTAATGTAGCATTTTGAAGCTCACAAGGAATCAAGGATCTAGAAATATCGAGAATGGGTGTTCCATAACAACTAAAAGAAGATTTGTGAAAATAACAACAAAATGACAAATTTTGAAGCTTATAAGGATATATACTTAATTGAGAATTATGTTTCATAATAACTTCAATAACTAAAAGATTCATAAAAAAAATGACATAAGTATGACACACACGTACAAAACAGGTCGAGACTGTAAAGGGCAGAATCATGATTTAGTACATAAATAAAATGAGAATAGAAACGTAACCCATTTTTTTTATATTTACATCACTCATCGTTTACCCCCTGTTTTCCACTGCTAGTAGGCAAGTGATAATCACAAGTATGTCCTTTGGTCCAAGTTAATAAATTCAAATACAATTCAATGTGTTAAACTTGACAAAGCTGAAAAGATTTTAAAAGAGCGTTTAAAAGCAGATGTAAACAATAACAATGTAGTAGCAAATTAAACAAGAGATATCTACCTATTCTTGCCGCCTTCCAGAAGAAACCACGAAATCTGTCACCAAAAGCATGTACGTCTTATCATCAAGTTCTAAAAATGTTATAAAGAATGAAAACACTATTGCAAGCTATACATCTAATGGAACGTAGGTAAAAACCTTCTGATACATTGAATTGTGAATAAAAATTCAAATGTACAAATTATCAAACACTTGAAAAGAAAAAGGAAGGGTGAGGGGAAAAAATGCATCGTTAACAAGACATTTTCCATCCCTTTGTTTGGATGATCAAAATTACATTTAGAGGAACTTTAAAATGTTCATAAAAATTAGCAACGGGAGGTTTTTCATGGGTGTCATGATAATCCCACATTTTCTTTTACTCATTTCATAAACTCCCAAACAAGAGAAAGGTTAAAGGTAAATTTTCATTCCTTTCCTCTCCCTTTATCGTCCTCAATCCGAACATGCACAAGAGTCTTACATACTATGGTATTGCTCACAACTAACAATACATTGGACCAAAACCAACATTGATAATAAGAATAACACTGCTATGCTACTTGAATGAAGCACTGTTAACATACAAAGAAATTGTATATGCACTGCAGTTCACATTTACACATGGCAAGAGATAAAGGCATATATACCCAGTTTTCTGGTCCAGGATTGCCGGAAACTGCATCTTAAAATAAGTGCAGGCACATATCCCCAAAAGTATCACAGTTAGAAATGAGTGGAAATTGAAAAGCGCTGACTGAAACATAACACAAAACGGATGTCAAAGGCAATGAACAAACACTCTACGGACTAAATCACAATAATTCAAAATTTTCAGTTTCCACACCATCTCAACGTATTCTTAGAATTTACCAATCTTCACCTTCCTCCTTCCCTACAAAAAATGTCATTGACAATCACATTAGGCCTATCACCCAAAAGAATATGCAATAATGCAAGTACCTTAACAGTGTATCAGTTAAGTTCAATCACAAGCCTCTATTCCGGGATATTAAAAAAAAAAAACCCTAAAAATAAGAACAATAATGTCGAAACTAGTAGATCCTTAATAGCAAAAGGATTGTAAGATTGTGAATTTAGAATACAATAGAAAAAATCCGAATTGAACATGGATCTACATAAAACGAGTTTATTACTGACAAAAAAGGTGGAGTAGCGTAAATAGTGAAAAAAACTGTGATTTGAAATAGAAGCAGAGAAAGAACGAAACAGAGAAGATCAATCAATTACCCGAATCGAAGTTGCAAGTTCCGGTGGCAGAAGAAATTGTGAGCGTCAGAATTTCCGGAGATAGAATCGTGGTTCTTCGCCGGAAGAATACCCTTTTGGTCCTATTAGTCTTTAGTTATCTTTACTTCATCATTTCCCTTCGTACTTTTCTATTAAACTATATAGTAAAATGAATATTAAAATTATATATATATATATATATATATATATATATATATATATATATATGTATACCACATTTTAATTTTATAAATTTAAATGTTTATATATTTAAATTGTATAATGTTAAAATAAAATATTAAAAATTAAATTCAATTTTGCTGACTATGGGGTTCGAACCCATGCGCAGTTATCTGCAGAAGATCTTAAGTCTTCCCCCTTAACCTCTCGGGCAAATCAGCTTTACATATGTAATAAATAAATATAAAAAAGAAATTTAATAATTTTATTAATAATTCTATTCTATTCATTTATTTATTTATAAACAGTAAATTCATTGAATAATATATATATATATATATATAAATAAAAAATGGGTACATATTTCTTATTTTAATTTTTTTCTTTATAAATTTTTTATAATTATATTCATTTAAAACAAATATTTTATAAATTACTCAATCAGTGGTTTAACCTCTAACTTTTTCAATTTTTTTTAATTATACGTATGATTCAATCTATTAGTTTATATTGAGTATATTAAACATTTTAATAAACATGTCTAAACATATTTTAACTCATTATTCATTGAGTTGTGTATCATCTAACCCATTGATTATTGGGTATGTATAAGTGTATAAGTCATAACTAAATTTTGAAGTTGATAATTTTTTTTAAAATAAAATGAATTTTAAAAAATAAACTGTTTCCTATAATTAATTTTTTATAAAACTAGTTCTCTAAATTTATTTTGCAAGATTTTAATACAACACGATGTTTATATCCATGTCTTGCGGCATGGATTCCGGTGTCTGGATATGCATGTATGTTGAAAGGACAATGACGACATCGAAAGTTAGATAGAGAAATTATTACATGGATCCGAAAACACAGTCAACATGATCATAACTATGTGTTTAAAAATAAAAGATTGAGATTATAACTTTCCAAAATAAACTGTTTCCTATAGCCAATTTTTATAAAAACTAAGCTCTAAATTTATTTTGCAAGATTTAAATACAACACGATGTTTATATCCATGTCTTGCGGCATGACCGTGTCTGGATATGCATGTATGCTTGAAAGAATGTTTGACGACATCGAAAGTTAGATAGATAAATGACATAATGATCCAAAACACAGTCAACATGATCATAACTATGTGTTTAAAAATAAAAGATTGAGATTATAACTTTCCATAATGGGGACCATTTGTTAAATCTGTTTTCTTTTATTTATATGATATCACCTACATAGTTTTAATTACTTTTAATGTCATTAAGATGTTTTGTAAAAATATACACTATATATATTTATCATGGAATAGGTTTGTATATTTAAAATAAGAAAGTAAAGATGCTTATTCAGATATTTTTTAACTTCACCATGACTTTCATTCTATTTTTATTTTTTATTTTTGTAATTCACAATATATTTCTTATAAAATAAAAAATTAAACAAATATATTGTTGAAACTCTCTAAAAATAACATCATGATTATAATATTTTTGTAAATGTCATTCCTTGAATTCAGGGATTGATGATAATATAATTGGGGTAGGAATCAAGGTCAGTTGGTATTTCAATATTTGTGGTTAAAATCACAATAATGTGTTCGGTTTTGTGCCCACACATTTCAAATACATAACAAATGTCACGTCATTTTGCTTTTTGGTGCTCCTATGTGGACACATTTGTTGCCATTAAAAAGATCCACTTCACTGTTTCAGACAAATCTGAACACCACTACTTCCTTCTAAACACGACCAGTGATGACATTAGAGAAAGAAAAAATGAAAGACAAAAGAGAGACAGAACAGGTGTTGTTACGTATGATTTTTGCCAAGAAGAAATGAAGGAAAAAGAAAAGTCATGTAGCTCAGTCATAGTAATTCCCACAGTTAAGATAACAAAAAGTAAATAATGAAAAGCATATTATATTCTCTCATGTGATTAAAAGTATATATTTGTTTAATATAATAATAAAAATGAAATAAAATAATATTATAAAATAACTTTCAATTACATTATTTCACAACTTATTATTTTCTAACACATTATTTCACATGAAATATACAATTTATGATGTTTTTTGTAAATGTAAAATAATGAAACTAATTTAAATTTTAAATTCATTTTATAAAATTATTATTTCTATTTCTGTATTTGATTAAATCTCTTACTAATTTAAAACATTTAATAACTCTTCTATTAAGAACTAGTTTTCTTCTCTTTGAGGTACTTATGGTTATAAATATGTTTTGTAAATATGTATTTAATTGAAGTGTCAAAAGTTCTCATCATTTCTTCCCATATATCTAATTTAAGTGTCCAAAGTTTACCTATTTACATATTTTGGTTAATATCTAAAATTGATATTAATTATACTATTAATTGAAATACAATTATATTAAAAATATATGTTTACATTATTATCTAATTATAAATTAATAATTATTGCAACAGTTATATTTAAAACATTTTTAATTAATTAACATTTATATTATGTTACAATTAAATTATGATAAGATCTAATCCATCTAATCTAAGAATTGAAGAAAATAATTAATTTGATTAATAATAACAAATCGTCCTAAAATTATTATTTTTCAAATATCAAATATCATAATCACTAGTAATATTATACACAAAACAATACTTAAAATATATCTTATAATATTATTATATTACATGTATTTGCAACACTCTTAGCTTTGCTTCTTATTATATTACACGTATTTGCAACACTTTTGTCTTTGTTTGTAACTAAAGGGTCAAATTTTTTTTAAAAGATGAGATTGGAAATATTTTTCTTCTCTTCTAATTACATAATTTATAAAATAATGTTAACATCGTTTTTTTTTTTACGTTTTTTATACCATTGTTTTTACGGAAAAATGAGTATTTAACCTTTCTTTAAAAAAAGAGTTTTATTTCACTAAAACAATCATATATATAGTTATATTAAATAATTTAACATAACTAATACTTACATTTTTAATAAAATTATTATATTTTTCTTTAATTTTCTAAATTAAATTATTTATTTATATGGTCTTTAAATAATATATTTAATAATTTTAGAATATTTACAATAAATTAATATAGATAAATTACATTATTTATTTATATAGTTTTTAAATCATATTTTTGATAAGTTAAATCAATTTTCATCAAATAAAAAAACACAAGTGACATTTCAATCATATTATTTATTTATATAATGTTTAAATCATATTTTTGATGACTAAAAAAGAATTAATAAAATCATAATTTAAAGGGCATTCTAATATAGATAAATTATATTATTTACTTATATAATGTTATTTTGCAAATAAAAATATATTATAAATATTATTTAAAAATAATTTTTTTCTGGTTCAAACACATGCGCAGATGATTGCAGAAAATCTTAAGTGTTCCCTTTGACCTTGATAAGATAATGATTTAAAGGACATTTTAATATAGATAAATTATATTATTTACTTATATAATGTTATTTTGAAAAAAATAATATTATAAATATTATTTAAATAAATAAAAATATATTATAAATATTTTTTAAAAATTTTCTGTTGCTGGCTATGGGTTCGAACACATTCGCAGTTCTTAAGTGACGTTGATAAAATCATGATCATGATTTAACGTTTAAATCATATTTTTGATAACTTAAATGAATTAATAAAATTTTAAGTCTTCCCCTTAACCTCTTGGGCAAACCAGCTTATTAATAATATTTAAGAAATGTACAATTAAATTATTTACTAATCATTACATAATTTGTTTATTGTGTGTATTAATTTAAGTAATCAAAATTTTTTTACATTAAGTTATTTAATTATAAATTATTACAGTATTGGAAAAAAAATGTTTCTCAAACTACCAACAAAATTTGGCCAAAATAAATTATTTATAAAATAATTTTAATTTCTTTACCTATCTAACTTGGTCAAAAGATCCGTGGTTGTAATAACTATTTATAAAATAATTTTAATTTCTTTACCTATCTTAGGATTAAACGATGTAAAAAGTTCAGATTTTATGAGATTAAAAAAAACAATTAATTTAAATAAAAATAATAAAATTATTCTTTTTACATTTTCCGAATCACTAATCATATTTTTATTTATTAATTGTGAAAATAATATATTAAATATACAAAATATTATGAATTAATTTTTTTAAACCAACTCTTAATTTAACTCTTATAAAGAGATGATCCAAAGTATAATATATTTCACCATATTAATTCATAAAATTCATTAAAAAAAACGATATTATTTGTCGTGGAAAGAAGGATACAAGGGATCAAAAGTTTTATTTCATCAAAACATTTTCATTAAATAATTTAAATTATAAATAATTACATTCTTAAAAAATATTATATTTTTCTTTAATTTAAATAAATACTGATATAATTATTTTTATAAATATTGATGATAAAAAATATATATGTTAACCATTAATGATTATTGAAAATATTAATTTTCAGACATTTTGGCTTCTTTTATCATAAATCTTTTACTAATAATGTCAATGCAATATTTTTTTGAATAAAGGTTATAAGAATAAAATATTTATCTATAAAAAAACATATAAATACGCTGTTATTGTTCAAATATAGTCATAGTTAAAACCTATTCATATTGAAAGTTTGATAAAAATGAACACTGACATTAATACATGAATTCAGGTTTAAAAGTTAATTAAATTTAATTGAATTTAATAAATAATATTTTATTATTATAATAAATTTATTATTATTAATATTTTTTATAAAAATAGAAGGAAAGTAAGAATTATTATCATGATTATCGTTATAATAAAATTTAAAAATAAAAAATATATTAAAAAATAAAAGATAAATAATTGTTAAAATAAGATAAAAAATAAAATATATTATATTTTTTACAAAAAATATATTACAGAATTTGATTATATATATATTATTAAGTTAAATTTAAAATTTTATTTAATTTTTTCAATTTATTTATTCTATCTTAATTTAATTAAAGTTTAATTATTTTAAAATAACAAATTGATTTTTATTCTGATTCTCAGATTAATCCACGATCCAATCCGATTTTCGACCTAACATCTATACTAACAAAACCTTAAAATTATTAAATCAACCCAACATTATACTAATATCACTCCTAAGCCAATTGTTTACTTTTAAAACCCCACCTTTATGATGCATTAATGTTGTCTTGCCGCTAAAATGATAATTTATTAAGTTAGCCTCTAAAATATCCTGATGCCATGCATTTAAACCATATATTTGTTAATAAAAAAAATTTATAATTTTTTTATTAATCTGTATGAATAACGACACATCAAATACATCTTCATTTTTTCAAATTTTGACTTAAACCATTTAAATATTTACGAACAACATCTGTACCGAGATTTTAAAACATGTTTAGACACTTTATCATACTTTCTTAAGCATGTGAAGAACATTTCTTCATCACAATAATACTTGACAAAAAAAATTGGGTTAATCAAATACAAAACATAGACATGAAATTTAATACAACAAACACATGAATCTGTTTATTATTTTAGTTGATTTCACAAGTTTTCATGTGACGGTGGAGACAAATTTTGGCCACCGCCTCAGCACGTTGTATTGCAAACACAAGGCGTTTTAGGATTGCAATATTAACATTAAGCGCAATTAAACTAGATTACATAAATAGGTACAAGTAGATATTTTTTTTATCCACGATTTGTGTTCTCAACATCTTAAAAAAAGTAGTTGTCGGATAGATCATGAAGACTTTGGTTATTTTTTAAAAGAAAAAACAATGAAAGGGACAATTTTGTTACCGAGCAACTATCATGACAAATGACAGGTTTGCTACGCGACAAACATGGAGGTCGGCAAGTGTCGGCCGGTGAGGTGGGAGAGAGATAAACAACATTTTTATTCATTCCTAAAAAGCCAAAATTTGTTCCTAACTTATACTAATTTCCTCTTCCTCACATTTTGGTTTGTTTTTCTCTTTCTAATAATTTGTTAATTATATCAGAAAATTTATATTAAATTAAAATATATATGATTATAAGTTATAAATCATGAATAACGTTGTATTAATTAGGTTTATAACACTAAATTTTGACATTAGTTTTTAATATTTATATGTTTTGGTCTAATATTTATTTTTAAATGTTTTATTCATTTTATTTCAGTTCGATTGAATATTAGACATATCATATTAATTTAAGGTAAAAAATGATTTAATTAATTTAAATGTAAGGAATTTTAGAATTGGAATAAAATCGTAATAACTATATAAAATGAAAAATAATAAAGCGAAAAATAGAAACATTTTTGGATTTTATTTTGATGAAAAAATTTGGGAGAGTTTGTTACCGTTCGAAGAAGGAAAATAGGAAAATGTGTCATCTCTTTCTCTCACGTTCTTCTCCATTTCATTTGCACTCCTCTTTCCCTTTGTCCCCTCTGTCCTCTCGCGCTTCCTCCCTACAATTCGCTCTGGTTTTCAACCTCGATACCTGTCTCTCGTAAACAAACTTAACTCACAGATCCTCAAATTTTACGAATCTTAGAACCGCGTTTTTATTCGCCTTCACATGATTCATTTCCTTGTGTCTCTCCTCTTCTTCTGGTGCGTCTTTCTCTCCTCCTAAACCCTAACTAATCCCCTCTGATTCTGAATCATTTTTTTTGTTCTCTCTATCTCTTTTCTTCCAGAAGATTACATACAAATGATTAACTAACGTATTTTTCGATTTCTATTGCCGAAGGTGATCTTACCTCGGTGTTGTCAATTAGAGTGAAGATCGTGTTTTGCGTTTTTTTCTTTGGGAATTATGAAGATGTTGGAGGGAAATGTATTTGTTAAATTTGCACGTCCTGAATTTGTTTTCAATCAAAGATTATTTTCTCCTTTCGATGGAAGAATGTTAAATTGATTTGGTTGCGTTTTCCAATATTGTGTTAATTTTTGGTTGTTCTGTCTACTATGGAATTTTAGCTGTTGGTATTTTATTTTTCGTGATGTCATTTCGATAATTTTTTTTCTCCTGTTTAGGTATATTTTTACCAGTCTTGTGGTCTATTTAGATGCAGAGAAAATGTTGAAAACAGAAAGTGACGGTTATTTGTTGTGTGTGTGTGTGTTTTTTTTTTTTTTTTTTTTTTTTTTATTTAAGGGTTTAACAAATCTAATTCCTCTCGGATTTGACTTTATTTTTTTGGCTTCTGCTCATTGGATAATTTGAATGATTATTCGTAACAGCCATTTTTTATAATTTGTTTACAAGGGAGATAGCGTGAAACTTTATGATTTTTTGCATATAAAAAAAGATTGAAGAATTCTCCTCCTAATTGTTATTAAGTATTAAATTCCCTGAATTATGGTCAAAATGTTCAACTTGCTACCCACTTTCGTAGTAGAATGTTTAGTTAGTTGGTTGCAGCAGTTTGGGCTGATGTTTTTTTAATTCTAAACTGGTTTAGCATTCATTTTCATCCTCCGTTACTAACTTTATTTCTTTCTTCTTTTTGATATTTTATACAGTTGAGGTTAATTAGCACCTAAGTTTACACAGTGATTGTGAATAATGGATGTTGCCGAGGTTGAAGAAAATCTTTTTGCATCAAGCGATGCCAAGGTATGATGATATATCTTTAACTATTACAAGTTACGTTTTGGAATTCCAATGCTTTAGTATTGTAAATTAATACCTTGTAAAATAAGTACTTGGATAGTTTGAGGTGTTTATGCTAAAGTATAACTAAGGAGACAAATTGCTTTTGTATTAGTCAATTTCTTTTTGAGCACAAGCATCGTTTGAAGCTCATTCGAATGGTTTTATTTTTACGTGTGACTTAAGTGATGATGTGATCTATCACCTAACAAATATATCTCTTTCCTTATGCAGTTACATGGAGATATGTGCAAGCGTCTTTCTGCAATATACTGCAAGATATTGTCATTATTTCCTTCTTTAGAAGCAGCTAGGCCTAGGAGCAAATCTGGAATTCAGGCATTATGTTCATTACATGTAGCCTTAGAAAAGGCAAAGAATGTTCTTCGACACTGCTCAGAGTCTAGTAAACTTTACTTGGTATGTTTATTATTGACAACTTTACTTTAATTTACCTCTCGTACATGTTATTTTATGTTGGTTGAGAAGGTTGTTGGGTCTGTAACATTTTGCAGAGTATCTTACGTATAACTTCACTTATGATGCAGGCTATAACTGGGGATTCTGTTCTTCTAAAATTTGAAAAGGCTAAATGTGCTCTTGAGGATAGTCTTAAACGGGTGGAAGATATTGTTCCTCAATCTATTGGTTGTGAGGTGAGAAATTACATGCCATATGGTTCTCTCTCTCTCTCTCTCTCTCTCTCTCTCTCTCTCTCTCTCTCTTGTTGAAACTCCTATTCTAGGTTAACGATCCTGTATTCCGGCTCTATTATGTAAACACTTTTACTCAGCCTTGGTAATTACTTTTTGATTATCTGGCATATTTATAAGGTTTCACATGTTCGTTACACATTAATTCAAAAGCCTTTTTATTCGCAATATTGTAAAGTCAGCTTTAGTAGAACTGTGACACTTTTATCTAAACACGCATGCACATGCTCAATGGTACACTTTTCAAGTCAACTTCATAGTTTGATTTTTTTTTTTTTTAAATGGCGTTTGTTCAGATTGATGAAATTGTGAACGAACTTGCAAGTACAGTATTTGCACTTGACCCATTAGAGAAGCAAGTTGGGGATGATCTAATTGCGTTGCTTCAAAAGGGAAGAAAGCTTAATGACTCTAATGACAGTAATGAACTTGAATGTTTTCATCTAGCTGCTACCTCACTTGGAATCACTTCTTCAAGAGCAGCTCTTACAGAAAGAAGATCTCTAAAAAAACTCATAGAAAGAGCTCGGGTTGAGGATGACAAGCGGAAAGAATCAATTATTGCTTACCTTTTACACCTTATGAGGAAATATTCCAAATTATTTAGAAGTGAGTTCTCTGATGATAATGATTCTCAGGGTTCTCAACCTTGTTCTCCCACTGTTCAGAGATCTCTTGAAGATGGCATTCCTGGTGGTCATTGTCATGTCTTTGACAGACAGCTTTCAAAACTTAGTTCCTTTAATTTTAAGCCAAATAATAGGGAATCACGGCAGATACTAATTTTACCTGAAGAGTTACGATGCCCAATATCACTGCAACTTATGAGTGATCCTGTTATAATTGCTTCTGGGCAAACATATGAAAGGGTTTGTATAGAAAAATGGTTCAGAGATGGGCACAACACCTGCCCAAAGACTCAACAGAAACTTTCACATCTTTCTTTGACTCCTAATTATTGTGTTAAGGGTCTTGTGGCTAGTTGGTGTGAACAGAATGGAGTTCCTATTCCTGAAGGCCCTCCTGAATCTCTTGATTTCAACTACTGGAGATTGGCATTATCAGACACTGAATCGACAAATTCAAGATCCGCAAACAGTGTTGGTTCTTGCAAGTTGAAGGGTGTCAAAGTTGTTCCTGTTGAAGAGAGTGGTATCTCAGAGCAAATAGCCGGGAATTCAACTGAAAATTTTCCTGCACAAGAGGAAGATAATGAGCGATATCTTAGTTTTCTTAAAGTCTTGTCAGAGGGGAACAATTGGATGAGGAAGTGCAAAGTTGTTGAACAGTTGAGGCTGTTGCTGCGGGATGATGAAGAAGCCAGGATTTTTACGGGGGCTAATGGATTTGTTGATGCACTTATGCAGTTTCTGCGATCAGCTGTGCATGAAGGGAATGTGACGGCTCTTGAAAATGGGGCTATGGCTCTGTTCAACCTGGCTGTGAATAACAACAGGTGTGTATTAAATCGTAAAGTAAAACTGCTTTTAATACAGTTAAAAAATTAAAAGTTATTGTTATTTCAAAATTGACACCTTGCATTTATCCAATTCCATAATCACTTTGTTTTCTTGTGGTTAAAAAATCTTCAGTATCACAGCAATCGACTTCTGTTAATCTTCTGGCTCTCGAAGAGCCTTTACCCATATATCAGCCGCTATTGTTTTTTGTTGACGTCCTGTAATTTAGGAAAATGCAGTGGCATTGGTCCGGCAAAACCTTTTAACCTTTATTTGGAAAATAAATTGCAAAATTCCTTTTTTCTGATTTGTTGAAGCATCTTTTTACTATGTATTTCCAAAAGAAATTTGCCCATAGTAGAAAAAAACACGGAAAACGTGGATAGTGCTCGATTGTTTGATGAAAATTGATATTTATACCCTTTAGTTAGTATGCTGCAATATGTTCAGAAATAATAGAATTGATGTACCATTTACTCTTTCTGAATTGGCTCAATGATTATTATTATTACTTTGTAAATCATCCTTAACAAACTCTTACCCACTTTTTTTTTTCTACAGAAATAAGGAAATTATGATATCAGCAGGGATCTTGTCGTTGTTGGAGCAAATGATTTCAAAAACTAGTTCCTATGGTTGTGCGGCCGCCCTGTATCTGAATCTTTCTTGCCTTGAAGAAGCCAAGGACGTGATTGGCACAAGTCCGGCTGTCCAGTTCCTTATCCAGATTCTTCAAGCCAAGACAGAAGTCCAGTGCAAGATAGATTCCCTCCATGCACTCTATAACCTTTCTACTGTGTCCTCCAATATTCCGCACCTACTTTCATCTGGCATCATTGATAGCCTACAATCCCTTCTTGTCGACCAGGGCGATTGCACTTTGGCAGAAAAATGTATAGCTGTTTTGATAAATTTGGCGGTTTCTCCAGCAGGAAGAGAGCAAATGATTTTGTCTCCCGCACTCATAAGTTCCTTGGCTTCCACGCTTGATACCGGTGAGCTCATGGAGCAGGAGCAAGCTGCCTCTTGTCTCCTAATTTTGTGTAACAGGAGTGGGGAATGTTGTGAGATGGTCCTGCAAGAAGGGGTTATCCCTGCATTGGTGTCATTAACGGTGAATGGAACCTCGAGAGGAAGAGAAAAGGCTCAGAAACTCTTGATGGTCTTCCGAGAGCAGCGACAACGGGAGCAATCACCTGTTACGACAATCCATCGTGAACCTGAAAGTAGTGATTTGCCCATGCCTCCTCCTGAAACGAAACCTTTATGTAAATCAATATCTAGAAGAAAGGTGGTAGGGAAAGCTTTTAGCTTTCTCTGGAAAAGCAAGAGCTATTCTGTTTACCAGTGTTAAGTCTCATGTAAATTTCTGTTCGATTCTTGACTTCTCTGGCCCTGCTTTTCACCCTCCCACCCGTTTCCACGGGTGCTACTTACTTTTTGGTTCCCAAAGAAGAGATGTACAGTCATATGTAATTTGTGGATTTTTTTCCTGTCTCTTCCATCTTTGTATATCAATCATTTTTTTGGCCGGGAGGAGTGTTTGCATCTCAATGAGCTTCATATGTTAGTTTTACCTTTTGAAGGTTTAGGTAAATGTGAATTATGACGTCAAGGAAACCAACAAGAAGAAACTAACTAGAATCTTAGGCCAGATTCTGTTGCATTGCATGATACTCGGCTAGTAGTGTGCCAGCTTCAAGGTATCTTTTGTTTTTGTTTTTTTCTAACTACTAGAATAATTTGATATATTTGTTTGGGACCCGAATTTAGACAGAAATCCTAATACAAACGAAACTTCTATGACGAGGAATGGATGTATGTCTGTGGGTATTATTTTAGGAATGCATCACTACCTTAATATGATTACTTGAAAAAGGAAAAACTTGATGGCATGTTAACCATGCAAAATTTTATAGTTAAACTATTTCTCCAAAAGTTACATATTGCTCGGATATCAAAAGTGTAAGGAACAAAAGGGTGTTTTAAATTATTCAAAATATTAAAGAACAAAATATAACAACTTCACACAAGACAAGGAACAAAGGTGGAGGCCGAAGAACCGATTCCTTATCAGGAGATAATGACAGGATTCCAATATTCACACTATTGACGAGCATTGTCCACAATTTATTGCGGGGTCCAACAAGTTTGGTTGATAGTTCTATCAAAACGTGTATATCAAAGAGCAAAAGCGACATCTTCAATATCTCATGTTGCTGAGTTTGCATTATTCGACAATCTTTTAGTGAGAGCCACCCACCAATTTTGATATTATTACTCGAATCTGAAGTTTGACACTCAAATCTTAACTCACAAAATGCATTTATCTATAAAGCAACAGCTCAACCCAACAATCACTTTTTTTACTTATCGATAGTATCCACAAGCTTAAAACCAAGATTAATATGTGATCTTGATGTAATTTTTGCAGGCCAAACATTGATTTAATATTACAAGAACATAGGAACATGTATTTTTCGAGATGTTAATAATATGAAGATTCTCACAAACGGAATGAGTCAACCATATAAAAAAAAATATGATAGGACGCATTAGGGCACGAGTGAACCATATAAGAAAATATGACACCATGTGTTAGGTTATGAATTTTTCTCTCTTAAGTGTGATTCTTGCTTTCTTGAAACTCATGTCAGGAAGACTCAAGTGTGATACCACTGTTAAATATTTTTTGAAGGAACTAACAATAGGGAGATTCTCACAAATAAGACACGAGTTAACTATATAATAGAATATGACATCACCTTCCAAAAAAATTTTAAAACATTAGATTATGAATATTTCTCATTTATAAGTTACTCAATATTTTCATTTCTATTCAACGTGGAACTTAAAACTCATACTTAAATTCTTAACGACCATTAACTCCACGTCTTTATAATAGACTTTACAACCAAGTCTTAGTTTAACTATATGTTTTGTGGAAGTAATATCAAAATTGATTTTATATATAGTAAATAATGTTTTTAGACATTTTATTCTAAAAATAAGTCAATAATAAAATTTTCGTAACATATTTTTTTATCAAACACAAAAACTATCAAAGTTATTTCAACTCAAAATCATGATGATCAATTCTTCAACTCCGATTCTAATGTGAAGATAAGCACACGCCATAATGAGTAATACTAATGTTAATACTTTACGGCCACGAAGAGTTCTCAGCCAAAAAATAAAACAAAAGGCAGAATTTTGTCAAGAAAAATACTAAATCTGTTCCATTGATTTATGAAACGTTTATTATTGGCAGAATGAAATGGGTATATACAAAAAAGGTTAAAGGAAAAAAAAAAAGCATCAGATTCGGTTGTCTAGTGCTGAATTTTATGCCACAAATCAAGCAAAAGAACGGATGAAAAGGAGTCGAAAAGTTTGGAGGAAATGCCTAGCAATCCAAGCTCCAAGCTCAAAAGATGAGCAATCTGTTATTCTTTTGCTTAATTTATGCAGCACCTGGTTTGGCATTAGTTTGCGGTTCAAGTGATGCCACAGCCAGAAAAATCGCTCGGTAACAACCTTCCAATAATTCGTATGGTTTGCTAATTTCATTTTGTTGCTACTATATTATTCTGCTTTAATGGCTTCTGAACTGTAATACTTGATTAGTTTTCTTACACAAGTGTTGCATTATGCTGCTAGTTTTTTACTTGTAATTTTTTAGTATATAGAAACATCATGCTGGTAATTCATGGCACTCCAATTTTAAATTGAAAGGAGGGAGTAACTTCTCAACTTGACAGATATCATTGCATGTCGCAAGATTACAACAAAAAAATGTTATGATTAATTCCTTGTAGCAATTCTTGTTTCATTTTACGTTATTTTGAATTGCTTCATAATTGCAGGCATTCCAGGAGATGGTAGATGTTTGTTTAGGTCTGTGGTCTATGGTGCATGCCTCAGATCTGGGGAACCATCTCCAAGTCTTAGTAGGCAAAAAGAACTTGCAGATGAACTCAGAGCCAAAGTACTCTTTCTCCCCCATCTAACTAAAAAAGTTATAGTTTGTCATACTTACTATTCAAAGTATGTAGTGTAATGTTTCTAGTTTAATTTCTATGGATTTGTCAATCTAAGCTTTATACTCTAACAACAACAAAATCGATGTTGGTTAGAATCTTTATGTAGAAATCAACCAACTTATCATAGCTCTCTCACACCTAGAGATATCAAAATTCAGTATATAAGTACAGGCCATCTAGTGAATTGATTTTGTAAGGTTAAGTACACTTAAAACTTTATAAGATGGTACAAATGTGGCATATACATATATATATATATATATATATATATATATATATATATATATATATATATATATATATATATAAATTGATTGTTTCCTTTTGATCCAACCGAATTGTGGGAAAACATGAAATCTTATTTTGCTGCAGGTTGTGGATGAATTCATCAAGAGAAGGGCAGACACTGAGTGGTAAGTTATCTAAAAGGGATTTATCATCTGAATCTTCTCATTTTAAAAAGCCTCTTCATATTTCTCATTACGTAACTGTAGCTAGCATATACATGTTTTCACTTGCAGTACCAGTGCATTAATTATTTTTGAAGTTGAAACATGCATTTTTGTGTTTAACTTGCAACACAGGTTTCTAGAGGGTGACTTTGACACCTACACAGTACAGATGCGAAAACCTCACATATGGGGAGGAGAACCTGAACTTCTCATGTCCTCACATGTTTTACAGTTGAGTCTATTTCTTTCATTTGCAAAACTTTTATATATGCATGTGATTTAATTTGCCCAAAGATGATTTTGACTTGGGTATTGATTCATTTCTTTCAGTGGCATGAGTATCAGTTAGTTCCAAACTGTAGCTATTTTCTCATAATCATAATCATAATCATAGATGCTGTAACAAAAATATTGAATGATATATTTCTGATCATGATATATATGTTATGGTTCTAGGATGCCAATAACAGTGCTCATGCAGGATAAGAATTCGAATAACCTTAAAGTTATAGCTGAATATGGTGAGGAGTATGGGAAGGATAACCCTATTCGAGTCATCTATCATGGCTACGGCCACTACGATGCATTATTGAAGAGTTCCACATATTAGTTTGATTCTTGTAACATATTACAATTTCATTTTCATTGTGTGATCTATTACAGGTTATAACTAGAGCCAATTAAGTCATGTCAGTTTTATATTCTTCAGATGATGACATATCTTATAGAGTGATACAAAATATGTTTCATTGTCTTCATTTATTACACATTAACTTTTATTATGTGATGCATTGCACAATGTACTAGATAACAACTAGAGCCAACTAAGATATGTGTCCATTAAGCACTGCATTAATTAAGACTACTTTCGTATTTTTAGATGGTGACTTATCCTATAGAGTAGTACAAAAATTCTATTTATCTGTTGTAACTTTTTTTTCATCTTCTTTGAGATGAAAATGAGACATTTTTAAATTCTTATATTATCATATTACGAATCTGTTTAAATATTTTTTTAATAATCTGATATTAACTGAAACATAAGTTAAAATTATTTTTTAAATTAAATATTTTTTTATAAATTAACTTATATGACTTATGTGTAAGATAATTTAAAACTCTTTTAATTCTTTTACTAAAATAATTGTTAAAATGTTTATTCAAATAAACCTTAAGAATCAATTTATATGGATTCTAGTAGGTACTAGCTAGTATTTTTATAGAAAAGTGACAATGTTTTAGCGAAACCTTGTTGGGCCTAAGTTCGCTAGGGTTGGATTTCGCAGCCAATAAAATTTAAGTGTTTAGTTGTCAAGTAATTTAATTTTTAAATTCCTGAATTAAAATAAAAAATTAAATCGCTTAAAATAATATTTTTTATTATTATTTTTCTATTATTGCATGTTGCTAATTGTTAAACATTATCTAGGTGAATATATATATATATATATATATATATATATATATATATATATATATATATATATATAAACTCGTCTTTATATTTTATTAATAATTTATTCAAAAAATTATAATAGTTATTACACTTTGAAATTTTTAACAATAAAAAATAACTAAATTTATTTAAAATGATGAAAATAACTAAAATTATGAAATTATCCTTCCACTTATGCGAATAAGAGAATTTTGAAACGCTTACTTTTTTTTTTTAATTTTATTTTGAGTATGAGTATTTATATGAATGTTGGTATACATGTCAAAATAAAAAATAAAAAAAATGCAATGAAAAATGAATTGCGATTAAAATATTAATTGTCATATTTTATTTTATTGTATAAAAATTTATTTGTTATAGATTTTCTCTTACTCGCATTCCACTTATATTTTCTACTATCATACCCCATTCTGAAAAAATGGTTAAGTTCTGATATCATTTCGAATAGAGATCTTAAGTTCATATTTCCTATAAGAAGAGAGTTTTGCGGAAAATGGTTTCGAAACTTTCTGATACACAGGATCCTCGTAAAGGAAAGTGTAGAGCATACTTGTATCTAAGTGGGGAATGATATTGAGAATTATAAGCTTTGAATTTTCAGAGAAGAGAAAACTTAGAGAGAGAACATTTTTAGAAAGAGAACTTGTATTGATATTTGTTGGTTTCGTTATGAGTTACAACATTACAAACCTTTCTTATTTATAGGCAAACCATACAAGTGGAATTCAAACTTACGCTAAATTAAAATGAACTTCAGACCTGAAATATCATACAAAGTGGAATCTGAAGATAGGGTTATGACCCACACTCATAATCTCTTTACAAAAAGACAAGATAGGATAACATATCTTACAATCAAGATAAGATGCGATGTGATGTCCCACAAACAAGATAAGATGGATGTGATGATATATTTTACAGCTAGGATAAGATACCATATCCCATCAAATAAAGTAAAGTTGATTTGGTCTCATCTTTATTAACACGTTTGCGAAGATCGCAATAGACATGTGTAAAGATAAGAGAATTGTGTTTTAGTAGCATATCATAATGACAACCATTAACTAAAGTCCGTACTTTATTCAGATCTGGTGGAGTTAGAATGATTCATCTGCTAGGCTTCGCTTCTTGTCATGTTTGCTTCCATGTAATGGGTCCTAATAAGGATACATTTCCTTGTGCATCATCATTTCATCCATCAATTATTCGTTGCAATCATTCGTTAAGTCTTCAACCATTTGGAATTCTTTAGGTACGTAAATCTCTATCGTTGATTTGAAGAATCTTATCTGTTGAGATCCATCGTCTTTTAGGACGATCCTATTCAAAGGATAAGCACTAACCGGTCTTTGGGATGAGCTGGTGATGTTGGGGTCCACTGGCTTGTGATAGTAATTGTTAACTTCACAGAGATGTCGCGCTAGTTGTGCCCGGTAACTTTCATCAAGTGGATAGGTCTCAAAGCTGCCCTAGATGTAAGCTTCATTTATTGACCATAGTTGACCTGTTGGATTTAGGAAGTATGGACGGTGGATAATGAAGATCGTGGTTAAATCTTTGAGAGAGATTTTAGTAACTTTCCTTTGCTTCTGACAATCTAGGATCTTCTTGAGTTCTTGTCTCCACCAAGATAGTGGTGAGAACCACTCGAGCAGAGTCCAGAAGTTTAACTTATCTTTGTAAGGATCTGTCAAGATTCTATAGGTTGTCTGTGTTTTTAATGCGATAGGAATGAAATACTGAACAGTGTTGTACCATATGGTCCAAAAAGTTGGTTCACAGAGATCCCAACCCAAGTCACAAAATAATTCAGAAATTCCCCCGAAAGGAATATCAGGGTTAAAGATGGAGGCTGAGATAATTTTGTATTTCATGGTTTCATGTAAAAAATAGAAATAACGAGTCTTCGCATAGTAGAAGATATCGGCTGGTGTGGTTGGGTTCAATCCAGGAGAATAAACTTTGACAATTTTGGCTTTTTTAGAGAGAGGTTTGACCATAAAGATAAGAGGAAGACTATAGGTGTCAGAAACCAATTAGATAGTCTTCTTGGGTCTGGAAAAAAAGTCAAGGACTGTGTTTAGATTTCCTTTAATGTGCTTAACAGTAAAATCATACCTGGAAAACCAACCCATTAGCCGGAGAATTTGAGGACTAGGAGGCATCTTATTCTTGAACTCTAAGATATTTGGGAACGAAGAGTTGTCCATTTGTACCTCGAGGTGATGTCCTCTGAGATGGAAGTCAAATTTCTTTATTCCATTTTTAACGGTCAAGGCTTCCTTGAATGTAGAGTGTGCTAATGTTTCTCGGTATCCTTGAATTATCCACTGGTAATGGCCATAGTAGTACCTTCTCTCATTGCATTCTTCAATGAGCATTGCTCCCCAGTAGTCATCACTGACATCAGTCTGCAGTACCTGTTTTTCGTTGCCTGGAATCTTTCGAGTTGGAGGAGTCTGAGCTACCTTTTTCATTTCTTTAATGGTTTTGGTATGCTCTGATTTCCATGGAGGTGGATTCTTCTTTAAGAGCTTGGATAAGAGACTTGTGTATCTGACAACGCTAAGGATGAAATCCCTAATGTAATTGACTATCCCGAGAAACTGTTGGATCTACTTGGCGGTCAGATTTTCATCCAGAAAGTTGAGGAGTTCTTCAACAATGTGAGATTGAGGTTGATAAGAGCCTTGACAAAAATACATACCTAAAAAATCAAAATTTTTTTGTGCCAATTGGATCTTCTTCTCTGAGAGCATAATCCCATGTTGATGGGATATTCCAAAAAACTAATCTAATAACTGTTTATGGGAGTCCATATCTTGTGAGAACAACAAGATGTCATCAATGTAAATGATTGTCTAGTATGGGATTAATGATTTTTGTAATGACTTTTGAAACAGTGATGGTGTTTTCTTAAGCCCAAAGGGCATTACTTTCTATTGGTATTGGGCATTAGGTATATAGAAAGTAGTTTTGTATTGATCAGCTGGGTCAATGCCTAATTGTCAGAATCCGGATTTGAGGTCAAACTTAGAAAAGATATAGGCTTCTTTTATCAGAGTGGGTAAGGATGAGGCTTTGGGTATTGATAATTTGTCATCCTTAAGAAAATGATTAAGAGGCTTGTAGTCGATAACTAACCTCTTTTTTCCTCTGATTTTTTCATATCTCTTTTCCACATAAAAGGCTTGACAGACCCAATTGGATTAGGTTTTTTCAATCAGGCCTTGTTTCAACAGTCCTTGACATTCATGTTTTGCTAACTGTAGGTCTGATGGAGACATTCCTGGATGTGTCTTTCATAGGATTGACGTCTTCATTGAGCTTGAAGGGTAACTGTACAAAGAACTCAGGATTCTTCCACAGAGGCGTGTGATGGGAGAATTCCTCATGGTTGTTAACGCATAGAGAGACTAACTTGCTCTTTATTTCCTTAAAGTCTGGAGGAGTTCCAGAGAGGGAGAAAATTTTGGGTATGTTTGTGAAAGACTGAAATTCCCTCTTGAATTTGATTCTTGTAGGATGGATCAAAAGTTTGTTAGTCATGGAGAATATATCCATTTCTACCAGTATATCCTTATTGGGAAGCTTACTCCCAATTACTTTGGATCAGACTGTACATTTTGGGAAGAATTTGATTCCAATCAGAGCTCTGGTGATCAATTCAGTCTTGAAGATTTTTCCGTCAGTTGTAACAAAGTAGAATGCTTCCTTCTTCCAAAATTATTTGGGAAGTATGTCAAGATCCATCGTAGACTTCTGGGTTCCTGTGTCAAGATAAGCTATAACTCTAATGGCTTTCTCATACTTTGAAGGAAGAAGTTGGACTTCCAAGCATGGTTATGGAGGAGAGATATTGATAGGATTGGTTTCTTGAAAGGAAAATACTGGAACAATGTCGATTTCTGATTCATTGGAATATTCTGATTCTATCTCGTCAGAGGAGATGGTAAGGGCAAAGATAGTTTCTTCTTCTGCAGAACTCTATTCTGAATAGAGAGACTCTATGTCGTTGTTGTCGCCAAGCTAGAGGGTGAAGATGAACTTGATGACTCTTTCAGCTTTGTGGGGATAGTTCTTGGAGAAGTGTCTTTTTCTCTTACAAATAAAACATCTTTGATCTTGTGTTTTTCTATGAACTTCTTCTTCTT